CAGCGGGGCCCGCCCGGACGCCTTCGCTGCGACACGCCGGGGCCTGGCGCGCACCCGCTCCCTCCCTCTCTCTCCCTCCGTCGCCAATGGCCGGGCGGGCGGGGCCGCCTTCGAGCCGGAGCGGGCAGGGCAGGGCGGGCTGGCGGCGGCGGAGGCTCGGCCAGGCCCCTCCTTCCTCCCCGCCCCGGGCACCGCGGGCGGCGGCGGCGGCCCCTCGGCGGGGCTGGCGCACGTGCCCGGCGCCGCCCTGTCACCCCCGTGCGCCTGCGCAGAGCGGCGGGAGCGGGGCTGAGGGACAGGGACCCCCCGGAGCCGGGACCGAGGGAGTCACGGGAACACCGAACCGATTCGGTCGAAAGAGAGCTCTGGGACCATCGAGTCCAACCTGTGTCCCAACACCACCGTGTCAACCAGACCATGGCACTGAGTGCCACGTCCACTCTTTCCTTAAACACCTCCAGGGACAGTGACTCCACCACCTCCCTGGGCAGCCCCTTCCAATGTCTAATCACCCTACTGTCCAACCTAAACCTCCCCTGGCACAGCTTCAGACTATGTCTTCTGGTCCTCGTGGTTGTAGAGACCAGCAAGAGCCTCCTTTTCTCCAGGCTAAACATCCCCAGCTCCCCCAGCCGCTCCTCACCAGACCTGTGCTCCAGACCCTTCCCCAGCTGCTTTTTAAAGAGGCATCTTCTTGCATTGTATAAAGCAAAAAATAAAACTGCTTCAGGTTAGTTACATGTTGCTCACAGGGAAACATACCTTAATTTCATCACATCAAAAATACAGATAATTGATTGCATACCAGATAAGGAATACATTTGCTTTTTAGCTTACAACCTGGGTGTGTTTTAATGAGATTTCCCAAAGTTCCTACCCAGCATTACATTAATATTCTGACACAGTAGTTGTATACTCAGCATATTTTTCTCTTGACAGGCTATAAAGAACTCACTATTCATGCATATTTAGGTAATAATTTTGATGTATTGTTTTTTGCATATGGGCTGGTGGAGTTGTAACCAATTGCTGGACAACCTCAGAAAAATATTTGTTGTGTAAGTGTATTGCTTTATCATTCAAAGCAATTAGTATGCTGAGATTTCCAGAAAAAATTGCATCACTTTTTTTTTCTATCTTCTCCACAACTATTTGGATAGTGCTTTTTTTCTTTCTCTTGATGGAAAATATCTGTAATTGATTGAATACCTGAAGTCCAAAAGATCCCAAACATACCCAAAGGCTTTAACAGAGGAGGTATTTGTGGTGATCCCAAGGAGCCTGGCTTCTGGAGCAGGGCTGGGGACAGGGCTGGCTGCACAGCCTCACGGAGTCTAAATGTAAACCTTCAATTTTCCTGATAAAATACTCTGATAAAACAACTTTCCCTTCTGTTATTTAAACATTAGTAAGAAAGTGATTATCACAAAGAGGTCTTTAAGGTAAACACTGATAGGGATCTGAAATCCTCTCCCCCAAGGGTAACCCAGGAAGCCCAGCTGAGAGTCTGTCCAAGCCCTTTAAGAGCTCCCACCAGTCTCATCGTGTGTTCCTTTACAAAACCAGCTGGGATTCTTTTGCCTGCGTGTACTACTGAGCTTTTTCCCTGAGCTGGCTTCATTCGGCAAGAATTGTGGAGATGTGGCTTATCTTAACCGTTCCTTTCCCTTCCTGCTTGTCTTTCCTGACAGCACCCATTAAGCTGTAGAACCATATTCAAACATAAACATCCTACTGGCCATGTCAACATAGTATATTCATGAATTACTGAGCAGTTCCAAAATCGGAGCAGCAGATTTGAGACTGGGAAGGTCATTTTGTACAAGACCAGAACAGAGGTGGGCCTGTAAGCTCTACTAAACATAATTTTTTCCCACTTAAAGTTAAATATGCTTTGTTGTCATTTGTTCAATATTTTCACTCTATCACTGGCTATATATTGTATTACTGCTGTATTAGACTAACATTCTTGAGTGTCTATTAGGTAACATCCTTTTAAATCTAGCAGGCACTTTTACCTATTGATTTTCAATAAATAAAATTCATTCAGTGTATTAAGATCCATATTCTCAGAATTTATAGAGAAACTCTAAGAATGGGATTCAAGCATCACATTTCTCATCCTCTGAACTTACCACAGCATTTCATATTTTATATTATACACACACTTATATCCTCTTTATCAGTTATGAGACTATTTTAGACACTCTTAAATTATCAAGATTAAACTGAGGCATTTCTCCAGCAGTGGGAGTTCAAACTCAGATACCATTTGCTAATAAGGAGAGAAAGCAGAGAAACCAGCTGTCGCAAGACACTGAACTTTTGCCTTTGATCATCCTTTATTTGATTCACGGCCAAAACCAAAGATGTAGGTTTAGCAGAGGATAGCAAAGTTTAGTGGGTGACAGAGAAATGGAGACTAAGCCATGTCAGTCACAGCATAGAGCCAACCTTCTACTCCTGTAGTAAGATACCACCCGAATTTAAAGCACTTTCAAGTCCTCTTTTGGATTGACTATCGATGCAATGAAATACACCTTTTTTCCTGCCCTTATTGCAAGAGAAATAGGACAGACAAATGGCAGAACACATAATAAATTTGGAAAATTATTAATATTTTACATATTAAGTAATTTGTATTGTATTTCTCAGATTTGCTTTCTAAACTGGTTTATTCTACAGTTAATGTCCCCTATCTTCAGGCTGTCTTGCTTAGACATCTCTGAATATTTACTTTTCCTATCTTAATTCTAAAGATGCAGTGGTTTGTAGAGACTATTCAAACTGTGCCTTCACTCAGGTCACTCCTTACTCTTCTCTTATTTCAGCAAATTGAATGGTACTGTTACCAAACATTTTCCAGAAAAAAATAATTCTGATAATTTCAAAGAATCCTTGACATAATTTTGACTCTTAAACCCACTTATTAGATTTCCTGTTGCATAGCACAGTACTCTTCCAGTTGCACATTATGTTTTAATAACTTAGTATTAGAAATAAGTTACAGAGTCACCTAAGAAACTCTATTTGTGGTACAATAACATTTTCACCCATCAAAACATATATTCTACAAGGATAGGATGAACACAGCAAATTTAGGAACTACAGAAACAGTAGAGAAGACTATTTTAAGTCACTTATTACCATTTTAAAGGAACTGTCAGGGAGAAAACTTTCATATAATGAATCAAAGATTATATTAACTTAAATTTCTTCAGCTTTTTGTCCTTTGGCTTTTGATCCTGTCTTTCAGACACAAAATTAATACACACAATGCAGGAAATCTTTTAAAATTCAGAATCTAAACACACAGGCCATATCTGCTCTGCTATTTGTATTTACATATCCAAGGAATATTTACACAAGTGATGCTGGAATGTGTACATAATTCCATTAGCATGTACAATGCAAATGAATAACGGGATCTCTGACAAGACAGATAAAAAACAGATAATGCAACTTAAAACTTCACCACACTTCTGGCTTGTTACATTTTAACATAAATCTTCATATTCCTATCAAAGGGTTCATTTGGATTTCTAAATATTTAACGATGCTATCCCACTTTTTCACTCATCACCTTGAAAGCACTTTGCACTTCAAAAAAAGGCAAGGAAATGTTGTTATTTCTACTCTGCAAATGTAAAAACTGAGGCAAAAAGACTATTTTTTTCAACTCTAGTATTTCAAATCTCAAACTTTTTCATTAAGTTGTGCTACTGTCCACCAAAATGCAGGGCCTTGCCTTACACTCCTTTCTTCTCCAATGTAGAGCCTTGGAAATAAGCTGGCTCAGCACTTTAATTTGGGATACACAATTTAAAATTGGGATACACTTTAAAATTGGGATCCCCAATGGATCTTCTTGTACCTTCAAGTGACTGGCACTCCATAAGAAAGGTGATTCTAAAATTACACTTGCCCAGGCAAAACAACAAAAATGAAACTATGATAGTATGCTTAAACTACCAATTACACATTCGATATATTGAGGAAAAATAATATTTATTGAACAAGAATATTGTAAACATGGTAATGTGTCTTATCATTACAACCTGGGAAATAAAGACAGGACTCGATGTTTCTGAAATTTTGTCAAAAAACCTTTATTTTATAAAAATCACAGGATCCATTTAAAACCTTAACTAAAAAGATTTTGGTAAGAATTAATCCGAAAATAACTTCAGTTGTCACACACCAGATGAGTTTGCCACTGTAACATTACTAAACAGGTAGATTTTATTTCTTAGATTTATCCAACTAACTGGACGTTATTACACCCACACACTGATGTTGTTCTTGCCACGTGACATTCTGTATGAAGTACTGACAATATGGTACCTTCAAAATAATTTTCCCATTTAGAGCCAGAAAACTGCATCTACCTTCCACCACCAAGAGATATTCAGAAGGTCAGTGAGGACTTATGGAGCTTTTTCCACATCCAGCAACACTGAACAGCATTTTAATCTTCTTCTTCTTTAGCCCTACACAGACTTTCACAGGGAAGTTAATTATTCTTGCCTCTGCCCGTGGTAGCTGTCAGATTTGTGTTATATTGGCCAGCCAGACACCATCTAAATTTTCCCTTTCATTTCCCTGCCATCCGTGAGGGATGTCCACTAGAATCTTCAGGGATCTGCTGTTTTATCAGGATGGCAAAATTAATCCACCACTAAGCTTAAGAAAATACAGTTCCCTTGAATTCCAGGTGCTGGGTTGAGATTCCTTTACCTGATCTGCCATATCCATTCTTCAAGTGAGTTAACAGCGATCAGTATAGACCAGAAATTACTTTAAATAAAGTAATTAAGGATAACACCCATTAAAGGAAAACGACCAAACTAGGAAAGACTTTGTGTAGGCTCAGCATTAAGGCTGAATGCAACTTATGAAGAGCTCAAACTGTCTTGCAATTTTGCTTTTTCACATGAAAATCATACAAACTCTTTTATGGCTGAGCTGAGCAGAAGAGGCACTGCCCAAGGGGGATGTGTTTAGTGTACAGCTGTCACGTGGCTGTTCTGGATGGAAAAGGGAGTCCATGTCAGGACCTGCATGACTGCAATGCAAAGTGGAACCAGGCAGATCAGGTTGAACATGGCATCATGGAGATCTAAAAACGTCCTGGGGAAAACATGAAAACACAGCTTTCAGTATGAAGATTAACTTTCCTGGTCAATTCACAACACGTTATTTTTAAAGCAATCCCATTCTATACACATAGACATGTTACTGTACAGTCAATTCTAAATCAAAGAAAAATATATATATATCTCAAGTATAAAATGTATTTCAATAGTATTTTATAATTCCACATACAATTATGTGGAATATATCTTATTTTGTTTTCTCCTTTCATAATAGCTGGGAGAAAATCAGACAATTAGCACTCAAAGAGTTAATTTTAATACACTCTAGGCAACCTCAGAAATCCTGTTCACTACTTTAGTACTCATCTATATTATGTAATATAGAAATCAATTTAAGCAATATCATCCAGTTATAGAATAGAGCATCTGAAAAGCTTTAGTCAGACTGAAAAATCTGGAAGAAAAGCAGAAAACATTTCAAGCAAGCATTTTAATATGAAATTATTTAGGTTAAAATCTGTGCTATCCACATAGTGTGTTGTTTTAGTTGCTGAGTGCTAGACAGAAGTGATGATTAATGCACAAAATTCAGGTGTGGTCTAAAGGGCTGTTTGAAACATCAAGCCCTATTACATTTGGCTTTAAAATAAATTATTACAAGATAATATAAACCATAAAAAAATACATGTGAAATTAACACTCATTTTCATTTATTCTAATGGATGCGTGGTAATTCATCTAAATCTTCTCTAACGAATAATAAATAAAAGCATCAACAAATATGACTCAAAAAACAAAATGCAGGAATTAAATGAGTTCCCTTTTATGAACAGTATGGTTGCTGACATTTTGGCATATGTGCATTTTGGCATTCATCTGGTAGCTGGAATCATTAGCTACTGGCATTCTGTTAATTATTGGATTCTAATTACTTAAATATCAGGAAAGTCAACTCAAGCTGAGAAACAGCCCCTAAATGAACTTTCTCACCATGAGGCAGTTTATGTTACTTTCTCTTTTTTTTTTTCCTTAGCATTCAGGGATGAGAGAGGAGACTTGCAGAACAGCTATGGACAGCCAAAAAACCTGACAATGTGTGGAGAAAAAAACCCAAACAAAACCTCCAACAGGTTTTTAAATAAAACCTATGAGTTTCTTGGAATCATAAAAGAATTGACTCATGTCTCATCCCTCCATTTAACAGAGAAAATACTTGTAACCTCCACCACAGCCCAGATTTATTCCTTAGTACGTTCACACCCTCATAAATGAGCAGTTTATCTCAAGTCCTGTACCTGCTGATGCTTCACAAGAAAGCAAAACCCACAGGCTCACAAGTGAATCACTTCACCACTTGGGCAATTGCATTTAGGACTGGGAATGTTCACTAGCAGGCCACTGGTCCACAGCCAAGCTTTATTGGCAGTGACAATAATTTACCACTTGGATGTTGTTTACTGGCCTGTTTTCAATTGCATTCCCAGTCCACCTACAAGGAAACAAGGCCCACCTTTGGCCTGTTCCTGCACACTGAAGAGGATTGCAGTTTTCAGTACTAAAATTATTCCGTCTTTATACATGGCCTTCAGGAAGGACAAAATAAGAAAGAACATCTGCAAAATCACTCACACTGGTGCAATCCTGATTTGGTTTCAGTGGAACAAGATTGATTTAAGAAAACAGTATTACCTATTGTACTGTAAAACCTTAAGTTATTGCAGGAATTACGAAACATATCTATAGTACACAGAATAAGGAACAAGAAAATATTTCATTGAGGGACTGGGATAAATCAAGAGCAGAGTTCAGATTTCATCACAATTACAGCTGAACAAGTAACTTCAGAAATTTCCATAGCTACCTTTTTTTTGCACACGCAGGAATAAAACATACAATCTTTCACTAAACAGCCCTAACATCACTCTGAACAGAATGTCATCTAGTCGAGTAATTCAGTATGAAAGCATTAACAGTTTAAAGTGCCTTCAATAAATAATGAAGAGTTGCTGCCAAATAACTTCATTTTGAAGGATGAATTTGAAAAGCACTGCCAAGAGAAGGTGGTGGTAGTTGCAGTGGCTCTCCAGAAGAGGGAGGTTTTAAACTAGGGATGTTTTCCACAGCAAACAAAAAAAAAAATCCAAGCCAAACTAAAAAAAGAAACCCCAAACAACAACAAAACCCACCCCAAACAACAACAAAAACCACCCCAAGCCATATAGGGCAGGTAATGTTTTGCTATGATGATGGAACAAAAGAAAAATCTACAAACCAGGACCGCTCCATTCTGCAAGCTATTGTTCAAATTTTAGGGATATTAAAAAATACTTCTTTAACTACCTTCCACTACAAATTGTTTAACTGCTGTGCAGTGACCACATTTCCTAAGGATGTGGTATAATGTGAGCAGAGGGGAAGGATCACCTCCTTTGACCTGTGGCAATCCTTTACCCAATGCAGCCCAGGATCCCAGGTCATCCTATTTCTCCAGCCTGTCAGATCCCTTTGGATGGCAGCATGACCCCCTGATGTATCAGCCACATCTCCCACTTTTGTGTCATCACCAAAATTCCCAAGGGTACATCCTGCCCCATCACCCTGGCCATTAATGAAGATGTTAAACAGGACTGGGGCCGGCACAGACCCGTAGGGCTCAGTTACTGACCCCAAGGAGACTTCCTGGCCCTGAGCACCACCCTCTGGGCCTGACAGCTTTGAACCCATCCCACTGGTTGTTCATCCAGCCCATATTTCAACAGCTTGTCTAGGAGGCAGGCAGTGCCAAAGGCCTCCCTGAAACCCAGGTAGACAATTCCCACTGCCTTCCCTTGGCTACCAGGCTGGACATTTTACTGCCCGGGTTCATCAAGTTGGTCAAGCATGACTCCCTTCCTCTTGGTGAAGCCATGCTGACTATTACTGATGATTTTATTGTCCTTACTGTGCCTGGAAATGGTTTCCAGGATTAGCTGCTCCATTATTGTTGCTACAGTTTAACTTTCAGTTCAAGAAAAAATAATTTAGAATGCAACAAATATTTTATGGGTTTGGACTGCATCCTCTGTCTTCTCCCCGGAAACAACATTGCTGGAAACTCTCAAGACATATTTATTCAGGGCCCAAACATCTTTTTAATGCAGAATAGGGGTCCTCTTTGTGTTGTGTTCACAACTCACTGCCACTACACCTAATAAAGCAAAGGCTTTCCAAAACACTTAATAGATATTGCCAGCTTTGGAGAAGAAGGAAGGACACGGCTGAGATGGTACATAATACTTCATTATATATACTTCACCTGTGTGAAATTCTTTTTTTTTTCCCAAAACAGCTTGAGCATATCTTAAACAATCTCTTGAATTCAGTTTCTGTTTGTCCTCAAACAACTTTGTCCTGGGGCAAGTGTGTTTTAGCTGCCTGCCTATGGCTGAAAGATGAGATCAGCTGATAGGTTTTTAATATATATAAGTAATATTAGCTCAGTCAATGGTCTGAGTACATTGCCATGGGCAAACTGACTCCCTAGAAACAACTTGGAGTAGTCTGGTCTATTTGTGTCCATGCTGAGCTCCATTTGCAAGCAAAGGACATGCCTGTTCACACATAAATGTACAGAAAACACAGGCAGACTACTTCATATTTAAGAAATTATTTTTGAAGAGACGGGCAAGAGAAATACATAATATAGTTCAGGTGCTCTGATTAACTCATCTCAGCTTTGTGCCTTTATGCTGTTCCTGGCCCTAGTGAAATAAATCAGATTTCAGCATGACTCAAGTGAAAATACAGGTTTTAGAGATTAGGCATTCAAAGTATTTCAACTCTCTATATAATAAATTTATTGTTGCTATAGTCCAGGGGCTACTTACCGGGGATAAAAAGATTTATAGCTACTGTGATTTAAAATCCATCCACAAAGGGATCATTTCTCTGATTGAAAGGCATCAGAACTGCAGTTGTTATGTTTCAAGTCTAAATTTCTCTGAATCATCAAGATGAATATATTCAGCCCTCTCATATCCACATCCAGTTGAAACTACTACTCTCTGCAAAAATCACTCATCTTATTTGACATTATAATGAGGTTCATGTCCTCTTCACATCATCTCACTGGCTATCTACAGACTGCATTAAAATAAAATTAACTGTTCTCACAGAGCCTCAAACTGCCTTTGCTTCTGTCTGGATCCATTTCTGAAGACCACCTGTTGTTCTTTTATGTAATGCTTGTCCTCTTACATTTTTTTTAGAAAATTCCTCAAATGTGAAACATTTTCCCAACCTTTGGTGACACATAATCTGACCTTTCTCCTTCGGGGCCTCTTTCCACAGAAGTCCATAGAAATTTGTCTGTATGTATTTTTAAAGATTTTTACTCAGAATTTAGGAGAGCTGTGTAGTTTCTCAGGATATTCATGCTGTTCTGTCAAGTAAATCCTAATCAGGACTGATTGTTGCTTTTAATCCTGCCTTCAGTTATTCCTTATGTTTCCACTTCCTCTTGATGGTCATAAATACAGCCTATGACCCTTTCAGTGTAGTGATTCCCTGTTAATTTGGTTTTATAAAAGCCCCCACATGTCCAACAGGCTAACTAGCAACCACAGCTTTCTGCTGTGCATTAAGGTCTCCAGGGACTGCAGTGAAATCATTAGCATTAGAATTGAAGCAGAATTGAAGCCAAAATTATACACTCCTACTAGAGGCAAATTCCCTCCCTCCAGTTATTATACAGCTTTCTCTCAAACAAAAATGTATCTTAAATGCAGCCCTATTAGGATTATATATTTAAGGAAGTAGGTTTATGAGATAAACAAAAAGCAGAAGCCAACAACATGTATCTTAATAAGAGCTATTAGGTGATCTCAAACATAAACCAGGGGATGGTCAACTACTGAAATGTGTCCTTTGCTTTTCCAAATTAGGTAGATAGCAAACTAATTGTTGATCAATTTGCTTTTTAGATTACAGGAGTATTTCATAATAATTTCTATGATTTAAAGTATCCCTTTTGAACTCACCTTGCATCAGGATGATCAACATTATTCAGGTTCCTATATCCAAACTGATTTAGTACTTTAACCACAAGCATTGGAGCCAAAGATTGGGCAGGCTTGGTAAATAAAGCATTGGTACCAAAAACCATAGAGGAAAGTGGTGATCTAAAATATTTAGGGGAAAAAACAAATTAATGCATGACAAAAACTTACTAGAGTATTAAGTACAATAGTGATTTAAAAAATCCTGATAATATGCAAAGGCTAAATATCATGATCTTTAGCTTTGTCTAGTTCACACATTATAGCAAACAGATCTGCTATCAGAATGAAATTTAAATTTATTTGGAAATGAAAGGTAACGAACCTCTGGGGTGTGTATGTTTATATATATATCGTATATATATAACTTAGCCCTGATTATGGAATGACTTGCACTCAGGTTCAACTTTGTGCACTTTGAGTAATTACTGGAGTTAGATTAGAGTGAACAGTGCATGGAGAATTAATTATAGCTTCAGGTTTTCTATGCATGAGGCCAGAGAAGGAGGCAATTTTTTTCCCCATGGAAGCAACAGCTCTCCCTTTTGAGAAGCCAGTTCTTCAACAGAGTGACCAGGGCTGAACATGCATAAACATTGATGGAACCAACAGGAAGTTCTGTGCACTTTGATAAAAATCTGAAACATCCATGAGTTGCAATATACTATGCCACAGCAGGTTTTAGCACTTTTATTTCAGAGAGATAATGGCAACCCACAAGAATCAGAAGGACTTGGCTTAAATTACAGTATAATAAAAACTAGAAGTTACATAGTAATCTGTTTAAATTACTCTGCTGAAGTAACTGCAGGAAACTTTCCTCAAGTTCTTATCTTTACTTATGTTAAGTTGCTCTTACAAAAAGTACTTCTGTATCAAGGATCCCAGATCGTTGACTGCCTTTACTTTGACACAGTTTAACCTATGGAAGAGTAACAAGGCAAACACTGCACATTTAAAGCAAACCAGGAAGGACGGACATACCTGCGCTTGTGCTTTACTAAATCTGCATCAACAATATCTGCCAAAGGCAAATTGAACAAACTAAAGGAGGCTTGTACAATTACCCTAGGGAAAAACAAAGTATTTAAGATGTTCACAGTCCTCATATTCACTTCCATAATAAAACTGTAACTGACATTGTGACACCCCCCCCCCCAACGCTGACATTTCCCCAAACACACACAGCTGAGATGTTCTTTAAAACATGGTGATTTATCTGTTTAAGCAGGAGTTGTGAAAGCATTACTAGATCTGTTCTTGGCTGAGAATTAGAAATCAATATGCAAACCTAAAAGGTGGGGTTTTTTTTTTGCTTTTTTTCCTGGACATTGGTGAAAAAGGTCATGAATACTTTGACGGTAAATGACATTATCAGTAAATGTCATTTAAAATGACCAAGAGAAAAGAAACACTTTAGAAAAAGGGGAAACTGAAAATTTGCTCTTCAAATCTCAAAAAGACATGAGCATTGCTGGAAAGACCACATGGAAGACAAACTTCAAGATGGGAGAATTAGAATACTAAGAATATTTTACATGCATTCATATATATGTATTTACAGTGTATATAGAGATATATCTATACACACACATATATATATGCATTTAAACACACACACACACAAAGCTGATTCTTAACATATTGTTAAATTAAAATATCAACTCAAATATTACAATATCCATGTCTTATTAAAGTTTGGGTGTACTAACAAGAGGCTTTGGACAATCAGCACTTGAAACACAAAGTCTTTCGGTACCTTAGAATTTTTTCCTGGGGAAATCAAAACACATCTTCATCATTTAAAATATGCAGATAATGAAATTCAATTTATTGTTCACACAATTCAGTGTTACAGTAGCTTGAGACTGAAAATAAGAATGAAAACAAGGGGGAAAAGAAAAGATGAAGTAAAGGAGGGCGGGAAAGAATGTGTAGAAAGACAACAATGAAATAGAAAATGAAGAATTAAACTGCTGTAACATTATTCTGATACAAACAGCTCTTTATTTTTAAATGAGGTTTTCCCTGTATCCTTATATACTTTTTTTAAAGCAGAAATTAAAAGCTGAAGCAGAATAAAATAAAAGCTGAGAAAAGTTGTAACTAGAGTTTCAACTTTTCTGACAAGTCAAACAGAATGAAAACCATAAAAGCCATGGCAGAATCCTCACGGTACTAAAAGCAAGTGTCCACTGTGTTAGAAGTTTTAAGCTGTGTCTATGAAGAGGGGAGTGTATTTACTTACATGTTTGTTGTGAGATAAAATGCCAACAGGTAATAGTGTTCTTGCCCTAGAAAAAACATGACAGCAGCAGCTACTCCTTCATAGTAAAAGGAAAACAAGATGACTCTGTAATAACCAAACTTCTTCAATGAAGCATGACTGAGAAGAACAAGGCACTGAAAAGATAATATATACAAATAAAGGATGACAAGTATAGTACAGTGTCTCAGCATCAGGAGAGCTATAAAACACAGACCAGACACAGATTATTACAACCCATTAAAAAAACAAAACCCAGCCAACAACCCTGTCTAGGAAATTCAATCCAAATAAAAAAATAGAAATTGAACAGAGACCTATCTACTGGCTCATTCTTTGCTACCCCTACCAGGTACAAACAGTCTCTTTCCACTCAAAAACCAGCTGAGAACTGCTATATCCTGAGGAAAATACTGTTTCCCACATTGGCTAACTATTATTAAATGCTCATGATTTTTATTTTTGATATCCCTTAAACTACTAACTTTGCAGTATGTTAATTGTAAACCAAGCATCTCACCATCTGAATTTTAACTGTTGATAAGAAATACTTTCAGGAATTGTTTTTTCATTAATATTACTATTTTCACTGACATTTATAGAAAGTAAGCATGACTCTTTAACTAAAAAAAAATCAAAAACAGCAAGCTCACCAAGATAGCTTTATCTAAGTAAGTTAGAGATTTTACAAACAGCAGAGAAAGGTAGATGCTAGAGGACAATGTGTATGGCTGAATTTTAATTTTGCCACTGTTAGCAAGCAGTAGATTCTGAGAATCTAGTGGCAGGCAAAGTCATGAAAATCGTATTAAGTGCTGAATACAATATGAACAAAATGTAAATTTTTCTATATTGTTCCTCGCTTTCCACTTTAAATAGGACATTTTGTGATGAATTATGTTCTTTTTATTATTATTATTTATCTGTGGCATGATCTTCATGTACGTGGTCCTCATCGCTGTCACAAAAATACAAACTCTGTAATAGAGATACACATTTTCTCCTTTCTTTTGTGTTACAGAGATGGACTCTCTAATATTCAGAAGAAGCACAGGAAAGAATTCTCCTTGTACATTTGTTCCCACGTTGAAATGCTTTAACATAACAAATCAAACCAGGATGCTACGGTCAGACAAAGACGACCGTGGCAAATGCTATTGTAAAACAGCTCAAGATTTCTACTTGAACCCGTGATCAGGGAGGTAAAACAAATCTGGGAAGTTGATACAAGAGAAAAATCTCATTCTAAGAAACTTAAACATACTCTTCCCTCTGGCTGTTTTCAGGGATTTTGGAGAAAAGTATCTCCACAAGAAATAGTGAGGGATCACGAAATGCCTGCTATTGTAAACACCATGATCCTGGCTCTCTGTAATTGCCAAATAACCCTGTCTCAGGAAGTACTTATGACTTAGAAAATTCCTTATTCCTTGCATGTTTCTAAGACTGTGTATTTCAGAGGCAAATACTAACTTAATGATGCAAATTCAGATTTGTTTGCCTATGTTACAGCAACATTTTCCTTGTAGGCAGGTTGTATTCTTCACACCCACTATTAAAAGGGACCTAAAGCAGAAGCTGAATTCTAGTTTAGTAGAGGCCACTGAAGCAGAGTTCATAAAAAGGAGCTTTATTTTACAAGGGTTGACTGTTTTTCTAGTAAGTGAAGTTCAGGACATTGCCATCAGAGAATTCCCTTATTATATCTTGAGCTCAAAGGAACAAAACCTGAGAAAAATAAGGTCACAGCAAACTCTCTATGGTTCAGTGACCTTCTAGACAAAGAGCCTCTGGGGAGCAGGGAGACACATTTTCTGAAAGATTAGTTGTTTCACATTGTCACACTGATTTTATCAACAAAAGTGATTGCTATATAGTAAGTGTAACATTATTTAAGATTTCCTGTTTTCTGTAGTTTCTGATTTATTTCCCAAGTTCATTATCTAATTGAGTTATAGGGGAAAAAAACCCAAACTATTAAACCTGTGATAAGGATAAAAGCTGAAATTACAGGAGTTATGGAACAGAGAAGGTATGTTCAGGGTTTGTATGTTATATATACAAAAGCCAAAATGGTAACTGAAACTGAGCTGTGAATTCCAGTTATACTTTCATTTATCTTCTTATACATATTACATACCAAACCCCATTACAATTTAATGAATGTAACAGCCTGATTTTGAGAAATTCTGAAAACCATCAGCACCTATGATGAACCTCAGGATACTCAGATGTTGAGTATCATGGCTTTCAACATCCAGCAAGTAAACACAGTGAAAGTTTTAAAAGATCCAGAGAAAGGAGTTAGGAGGGAATGAACAGAAGAATTTTTTATTCACTGCAGACAAGTATGTTTACATTCTGTGGGATGTATTTTTGCTGCTTTTCTTGTCCTCATACATTACTCTTTCAGGGTCTCTTTCTCTTTTCCAGTTCATTACTCCTCCCCCCAGCCCTGTCTGGGCTCTTTAAAGTATGTCTCTCTCTACCTCATAAATGTAGCTGACCAAGAGAGCAAACAACAAAATAAATGGGAATGTAGATTCTCCAAAAGCAGCTATTTGGAGTTTTGTTTGGTTTCCATGACTGAGATACCACATATTTTCAACAAGGCTTTTAATACCTAATAATTTTTCTGGTATTTTGTGCAGTTTATCTCAGAAACTTCCTGAAGAAGAGATTAGTCTTTCATCTGTAATACACACTATTACAAAACAAAACCAAAGAAGAAAGAATTCAGAATTCTGTAGATTTTGCTTTTAGAAATTTTATCTTGACTATGTTTTCCATTCCTTTATACTTAGGTATTATAAACCCTGTAGGATACAAAACATTCATTCCTTGCCTACTCACATCTCACATGTCTGTTCTAAACAGACATTCTACCAGCCTGCTTGTCTGTTCTCACTACCCCTTACACTTGGGTAGCCTGCACAGAGGGACTTTTTTCTTCTAGACCACTGCTGAGCCAGATTTGTTTTTCATTTTGGCCAATGGCTTCTGCCAGATACAGCATTATTTCAAGTGTTAAATGGATACTGTAAACTAGTAACACACCAGGTTTTCATACTTTAAAATAAAAAAGTGTAACTGCCTACCTGAGGACAAATAAAACCTGCTCCATACATGATACTTCTGACTGAGGAAGAAAGGACATCCGTAGGAATAAGATTATCTGCAAAGATTATCATGAAATTGTTGTAGAAGGCCAGGTGGAAGACTTGGAAGAAGTTCATTGTGACAAAAAATAAAAAGTTCTTCTCCGTCATAATCTGTTTGGTCAATGAAACCACTGAGGCCAAGGAGAAAGCTCCCTCACTGTTTTCCAGGTTAGCACTCTCCACGTGAATTTCTCTCTGCTCATACTGGCTGGTACTGTATTTACCTGTGCAACACATACAAGCTGTTGCTAGTGCTGCGATCAAAACAGTGAAAGCCTGGAAATAGGCAAAGTTTTCCATGTTATCTGATATGAGCCCACAAAAGAGGATGCTTGTGGCTCCAATTAGTGTTGCTACTTGGTTGTACTTGATGAGCTGGAGCCTGCTCTCGTGCCTGGTGGAGGTCTCGGCAAAGAGCGCACACTGCGCCAGGAGCACGAACGTGAGCAAACCGTCAAAGGCACACAAGGCAACGACGAGGTGGAAACCACACAGCCAGTCCCCGTCCTCGTACTGCTTCCAGGGAAACCAGGGCAGCAGGAAGGCCAGCCCGTACAAAGGAGCTCCGTACAGAATCGAGAACTGGCGTCTGGCGCAGCACCGGAGTTTGGAGTTGTCTTGGATATACCCAAAGAGAGGATCGTTGATGGCGTTCCAGATCATAAACACGGCCTGCCACAAACAGGGAACACACGAGGGAATGGAGCCTTAGTGTCATTTTTCTACAGAGGTTACAAAACCACAGAAGTAATACACATGTTTATTTAAAATAAATCTCTATTCAAAGAATAAATAAAGATGAAAGCTCTTCTGGCCAAAACAGACTAGATCAAATTCTTAAGGATATTTACAGCTTTATAGAAGTCATGAAAAAATAGACTAAGTAGGCAGGTGGTGCCCAACTATATGTGAAATAAACTCCTTTTCTCCAAGACTTCACTCTTTCAAAACCTTATATATCTGGGCTTTCATCCTGCAAAGCCCAGATATTACTCTCACAGCGAGTTAATTCAAAACATGAGCTGGCCCATTACTTTCAGGAGACCATTTACGACAAGAGTTACTCACGTGGATAATGACTCCCAGAATAAATGCAGTGTTTAAGTACTTAAACAGTCCATAGGAAAGCACTAATGTCAAACTTATCTATGGAGCTGAGATGCAAGATCAGTCTAGAAAATTACTACAAGCTATCAAAGTTAAAAATCTTTTCAGCAATTAAAGTCTGGAGATTTTTACTCTATAGCCTCTTAACGATGTGCTTTATGTGTACTTTCAGTTGCTTATGGATTAACTAAATTAAAAGTTAATTTACTGTTAACTATTTACAACGCATCCAAAATTAATTTGTCAGCAAAAAAATCACTTTGTTGTAATAGCACACATGCACAGCACAATATGGTAACCAAAGTATTCCGTTGTACAATACCTGTGCTTGATTAAAGGCTCCTTCTGAAATTTTGTATCGGTTTAGGAAAAGCTTAACGTAGTAGAAATTAAAGATACTGTTCATCATTCCAGCCCCTAACGTAGTCATGGAATATGCCAGAGCATTAGGATGAATCCCCCAAACAAACTTCATCTTCCAAGAGTACAGTTCTTTTCCTCCTCAAATTACAAAAGAGAATTACAACAGTTAGTAGAATAATTTTCCAAATTAAAATATCATGGGGGATTTGCTTGTTTCAGAGGTGTGGAAGTGGAGGAAATTTCTTCCTTCCTTTTCTTTTAAATGAGAAACACATTTTACTGAGCTGTAAGACACTGAGCCTAAAACCGAACAGATGAAAAATAATAAGTCAGTGCTTAAAAATCAATGGAACAAATGGACAAGAATTTAAAAGACTCCCTTCCTAACTGGTGCACAGACTCCATTTAAAACCTGCTGTTGTAAACACTCATGTTGGTGTAAAGGTCAAAGCAATTGCATACATTTTAGATCTTTCTTGCTAGCTGTGTATTCTTTAAATTATGGACTGTGTAGGAATGAAGTGACTCATATCCTTATGCTGCAGCATGCATATGGGTGAATATTCAGAGGAATATTTCTTTCAAAGCAAATACCAAGTTTTGCCCTTCTGTGTTGAAATGTTAATTGTTAACAAGCCATGGAAGCAATACTTTCACCTAATAAACCATAGAACAATCAAAACACCTATTAATTAACATTTTCATTGTATAGAATACTGCATGTAAATAAAACCTAGCAAGTAACAGGTACAGCATTTTAAGTATGTCCAAATAACAAGAGATTCAGCCCAAGAATACAGATTTCTTTGATCTATCAATCAGATATTCAGCCAACAAATTTTTAAGATGCTGACTTTTTCCATCTATCCAGCCATTAACTTAAGCATGTTTGGTATAAACTGTGCCATTAAAGACCCAGGTCCAGGGAACCTCTACCTAATAAATCTGAGTAATGACTACCTGATGTAGACCTTGACCATATTTGATGCTATAAGCCCAATACAAAAATACTCCCAAGTATGTGGATTTAGCTGAGGTTTTATTCATCTTCACATCTGTTGAAGGAGCCTGTCTGTCACTGATTTCAAGTCCAGATTTCAGCCTTACTGTGGACATGAACTCAGAGCCTTACTACCTGCTTTTTGTCAATAATTCACACTTTGCCCCCTGCATATTAACAATTTTATCCTAAATGCAATTTTCACATATCCATCAGAACACCTAGTTTGAATATCTGCTTGATCAGCAGCTCACTGAACTCCTCATAAAAATAACCATGGAAGAAACAGGAAATGAAAACCAAGGCTATTTCCAGCCTTCCTGTGGTTTACAAGACAGGCTGTTGTGCACAGAGGTGGGAACTTCCCAATCATCAGGCAAGGGCCAGGCAAAAGCCACAAATCCAGCAAGAACTGGAGAAGATGGAACAGTTTTCCCACTCCCTCAACACAGAGAATGAACCCTTGAAGAGCAAATAAAGTGTGGATGCAGTTTTGCATATATATGTAAGATGCTCTGATATGAAACATGATGCAAAGAGTAGATAACTTCACAGATAAGAAAAAATCAAGGTAGCAAACAACTTAAACCTAGGCTACTTTTATTAAAGCCAACTTATTTCTAAGAATTTGACTGTTTTTTTAAATACTTGAGGATGATTGTGATGTATATCTTCAAGTTTATTTTTTCACATTCCTACAGCTGTAGAGACAATTTCACTTTCAGGGAACGGAATTTTACATTTTTATAGCAAGTCTGGTTTCATAATTTTTTCCTGAGAAACTTTAAATGAAGAATAAGGTTATTGAAAAGGTGCCCAATTGAAATGCTCATTTTTAAAAAAAATGAGATATTAATATGAAAATCACTACAGTGTGTTGACACATGTCATATTTCTTTTTTCAAGCCTCCACAAATACACTTAATGAAGTGATTTATACAGTAGATATTGGGACTTTTGGAAAGGTAGACATTTATTCTCTATTTCTACCTGGAGCCTCCTGCACAGGTCTTCCAATGGAGAATTAGGAGACTCCCCTTTCCTTCAAATTCCTTGAGCACCAAAGAATTAATGTGCTTCACACTAACATTACCAGCTAACAGCTATTGCTCAAATCACATTTGACTCAATTCCTTCCTATGCACAAATAAAGGTCCCCTCAGCTTCAGAAAAACTGAAAGAAATTTGAAATTTCTTCAACAAAAACCTTCTAACAATGCACAAACAGGCCTCTAATGTCATGACTAATTATAATATGCAGGATCTGACACAACTCCACACTAATTGGTACATCTGGCCCTGCCCCCCGTTTATGAAATAGGTTCAATTAGAAGTTGAGGTCCCACACTTCCTTTCCCAGATGTTCTCTTTAATAGTACTACCATGAAATCATGCATGAGTATCCCCTCCCTCTTCTTAATAGTCAGCCTTTATATTGAGCAGGTTAAAGCACAGGTGTTGACATTTTGTGACTCACAGAAGGCAAATCGGTTTCAGAAATTTCTGGTGGTTGCAACTGCGTTAATACACAGGAGCCAAAAGGACGGGCTGTTTGAGAGACGCAGCGTGACATTACCTGCGCTTCTCCCAGCGATGGATGACAACTGCTAAAAGAAACTAGAGCACGAGTCTAAAGGAGAAAAGTGGATTCCAAGAGATAATAACAAATGTTGACTGAGGCGCACTAGACATCCTGCTCTGTCCTGGGTCCCAAACCGCTGTGCAATGCTCACAGTCCTGACGGACTGGCTGGACACAATTATCTTCCTCATCTTTCTGACGTGACTTGCACCACATTAAGGGAGACCTAAGAACAAACGCTTTCCCGGTCCCGAGGGTAACACCGAGGGGCGATGCTGCCGGAGGTGCCCTCAGAGAGCCCCTGGCACGGCAGGGCTGTGGCACCGCCCGAGTGCCCGCTCCGCCGGGCGCTGCGCTCCTGCCGGGCACGGGGAGCTCGCAGGGCTGGGCGTTTGGAGCTGCTCCTCTGTCAAAACTCAGCGAGCCAGGCTCGTTTCAGCTCAGCAGGTCCCCGGACAGAGAACAGGGCTCGCTCATCCTCGTGAGGGAAAGAGGTGAGAGCGGTCGGCGACCGCCCCGAGCGAGGCGCGGGGATGGAGCCGGCGCTGTTCGGACTGACCCTGCCCCACGCTCTGCCCTGCCCTGCTGCACTCCGGGCTCAGCGCGGTGGCTGCCCGCACCCGGGCGCCCCACCGGGCCCCTCCTCACAGCCTCTCCCCTCAGCGCTCCCAACGCGGGGCGACCACGAGCCCCGGCTTCCCCTCCGCCGAGTCGCGGTGCCGCACCGCGGGCCGTGCCGGCCCCGCTCCGCGGCGAAGCCGGCAGACACTCTTCAGCAGCCGCTCCCCACCCTCGACCGCTCCCAGCGCCGCCGACCACCACTCCCTGCACGGGCACCGACCCACCTCCCGTGGCGGGGGCTGCGCACCGCGCGGCGGGGCGGGACCTTATCGCCCCGGCCTAGCCCCCTCTCCCCTCTCATTGGTGGCTCGCTGCGAGCTCGCTTTGTGATTGGTGCAGGCTCCTGTCGATCTGCTCGGCGGACGGCTCCCCATTGGCCGCCCGCCGGGGAGGCGAGGGTGCCGCGTTTGAATCGCGGGAGGCGGGGGGCGGGCGGTGGCTGCTGCCACGTTGCCGCCGGCGCAGCCCGGCCAGAAGGGGGAGAGGTTCGGCAAAGTCCGGAACCGCTCGGCAATGGCCGGAGGCGGCTGCTGAGGCGGGGAGAGGCTGCCGGGCTCGCCCTGCCCCGCTCGGCGCGAGGGGGATCGTCGGGTGGGCGCCGCCGCCGCCGCCGCGCCCGCCTGTGAGGGGAAGGGGCGCGATGCTGGCCGACAGCCTGGTGGAGGAGTTCGAGATCCGCGAGGATGAGCCGTGGTACGATCAGCAGGACCTGCAGCAAGGTGAGCCGGGACGGGGGAGAGCGGGGAGCGTGTGAGACAGGGGGTGCGGAGAGCCGCGTGTGTGAGAGAGGGGGCCGTGGGGATCCGCCTCGGGGGTGTGTGAGGGAAGGGGCTACAGCGAGCCGGGTTTGTGAGGGAAGGGGCGCGGAGAGCCGCGTGTGCGAGGGAAGGGGCTGCGGCGGGGAGGGCGTGTGAGGGAAGGAGCCGCGGGGGGCGGCGGGGAGGCACCGGCACAGCGGCGGAGCGGGCGCGGAGGGGCGGCGGGAAGGGCGCTCGGGGTCGCGGGGCGGCGGCGGGAAGGGCGGGTCGTGCCGGGCGCGGGGGGTCCCCGCACGGCCGCGCTTCCCTCCGCCGCGGGATCGCTGTCACCGGGAGCGGCTGCGGCCGTCTTTGTTTGAGAGAAGGAGCCGCCGCAGCCGAGCGGGATCGTGCCGGGTCCCTCTCCTCCCGCCGGCAGGGAAGCGGCTCTCCGAAAAGTTGCACCTTGAACAGGAGGCGAAGCGGCTGCTGTTCGGGGCGGACGCTGGGAGCACCAGGGTGGGATGCGCTATTGCGCCCTGTTGAGCTCTTTGTAAGGGCTTCCAGTTCGATCAAGGTGTAGTTGTAGCAGTGCTCGATTAGTTGCAAGTCCCTTATTAAAATCTTTTTAGGTTTTCTTATTAAAATACACAAATAACTCCACTACGCCTCAGAATTCTACATTTCTAGCTCCTGTATGTCATTCCATCGATAGGTCTTAAAACATTATATGCAAGGGGTAAATCCTGTTCTCATTTCACAGATGAGGAAAGAGCCACAGGAATACAAGTATAATTGCATTAAAAATCTTCAACAGGCATGATATGGAAAGAATGTGCAATTTCCTTAAGAGCTTAGTGGCATCTATGACTGGTATTTACTTGGTTCTACTTTTTGTTCTTAATCCCGAGTTTGTTTTAAAGGTCATCTCGAAGCTGTGAAGTGGCTTCCTGCACACCCGTGCCAGTCTTATGCTTTTTGCTTTTAGATTGAAATACATTAATTCTTGGGATTGGTGGGTGCTGCTGTCCTGTAAACCATAAGGAAAGCTAAGCTGTATTCACACTGAGATCAGGCATCTGACAGCAGAAACTTTTTTTTGAGACAGGAACAGGTCTCTCTAATTGTCTGCTGTATAAAATATCTAACTGTTTGAAAGCTGTATTTAGATACTCTTTGCCCAAAATAGATCTTTTCCTGGCTCTAGGATACAAACAAATCAGTTTAAGTAAGATCCTGAAACCATAGTTGGCTGTCAAAGGGAAGAGAGTTGAAAATTTGAAGCAATGTTTTTACTATGTCAGTGTTTATGGGATAGAAGACCTACAAAGCGACTTCACAATGTATAACAACTGACTTCTTGCCTTGTTTCTTTACTTTCATCTTTTAATTAAAAAGAGTGAAATAATCACCAGTTGACTCTCTATGAGCTTTTAAGAAACAGTATTCCATTCTAGAGGTTAGTGCGCTCTCAACATGCCAACAACCTTTTTCTGGGGATTCTCTCTTTAAGCCTAAATGGAAGTGACTAATAGCCTTGCCAAAAGGGAAAGGAGGAAAATAAACAGATGGGCAAGTTGAAATGCAAAGAAGAAACTCCTTACAGGAATGCTGTACTTTATTTCTGGAGTCTGAAAGATGAACTTCCTCATCCTAAGCCTGAGCTGTGCTGGTGTACGTAAACAGGGGAGTAAGATTGCTTATCAGGGCTCGTGAAACTCCTCACAACCCAAACAATCAGTGCATGTTTAAAAACTGAGCAGTAGGTTTATGAGAAAACGAGGTTGTAAAACATTAGAAAGCACACAGAAACAAACTTGTAGTCCTTATCAGCCAGCCTTTGAAACTTGAAATTAGGGTAGGGTTTTGGAAAACCTTGACAGTCTGTATGTACTAAAGCTTTTGCCTTGACAAGGGAGGATGGGATTTTCTGGCATGCTGTTCATGAAAACAGAATGCTCATGGAATTCTTGTAAGGATGGGAACAGCCATCCTTCTGCAACGTCCATGTTTTGCTGCAGTATGCTGACCTTTGAAAAAGAATTCTTTTCTATGGCTGCTCTTTTTACATCTTGCTGTTACTCACTTCTAAAGAACAGAGAGTATTCTGAATACAGAATAGGAGATACGAAACTAAATAAAAAAAAGGGTTTATTTTACAGTTAAGTAAACTTCAGCTAGGCTTACTTATATATCTTGCACTACATTAATGCCTTTTGCTCTTTAAAAGAACAGGCTTAGTTATAGATTGAAAATTCTCTGAATAATTTTGTTAGGTGGGCTGTGAAAAAGTAGAAGAGAAGGATTTTGGTGCTGCTTTTATCTCTTTTTCACTTATAGTAATGCTGTCAGAAGAGAATGTGAAGTGCTGGTAAGTGAAGGCTGTTCAACATCACAGAAGACGTATCCTTGAAGTCTTGTTTTGTTTCAGAGCCTTCCGATGGAGCTGTTAAACTCCAGCACAACTAATCAGATTTCCTAAAACGAAGATCTTAAGATCTGCACACAGGCAGTTTGCATTATTAAAAACCTCTCTGCTCCCATCTTTGTGGTGAAAAGGAAAAATGCATGTCTGTGTCAGAACTTAGCTGTTGCTTTACATAAATTTACAACAGAAAATGCAGTGTGCTTCCAGTGTTCTACACTAACTCTCTCAAGAGAAATGTAAATGAACCGTTTTCCTTCTGTATCTGGAGAACACGTGTATTGCACCTCTCACTCATAAAATTTGCTCTTTATAGGGCTTAGAAATACTTGACAATGTAGAAAAATGGACACAAAGCAAATTCTTCATTTTAGAAGAGGTGAAATTATTTAAGTTCTTGATTTCTCTGGAGTTCAGGTTTTATTGCGTGTTCCTGAGCACTTCCACTTGTATTCTCCCCCTCAGAAACAAATTGCCCTAATTATAAAATAGCATGTTTCTCCCATTGTAACCCACTTGTGCTTCTGCCAGTCTAATAAACAGAATGAGTGTGTAAGTATGACATGAATTCTGTTATCCAAACTGTATTCCAAGGACCGTGTGGTATGTGCTACTTGATTTAGTAGGTGATGGGGCATTTAAGAATGAAATTGTAAAATCTTATATGTACTTAAACATCAAAACAAACTTTCACTTTAGGAAGGGAAATGACAGCAAGTAATTCCATTATGCATTATGTCTTTAACATAATCCTAAATCCTCTCTAAAGCTCTTATTCTACTCTATTAAAATAAAAGAATGGACTATTTAGTCTTTGCCTTAAATGATGCCAGTATTGCTGACTAGTTGTAAAGATTGTAGCTCCTAGTAAAGATCTGTGTAGTATGAGAACTTGGGAATTGGGATTCCATTTTCTATAGGATGATGGATTTGTGGGATTTGAAAACCACAGTATTCTGTAATGTGACGGAACAAACAGCTTGGTTTCTGACTGGGAGTTACTCTGTCCATGGGTAAACAATATGCAATCTGTTTACAAAACAGGAAAAATGTAAGTAGGACATCTTAAGATTTCGTTACCCAAGTACTTTAAACCCCACTCTAGCATAGGCTGTGTTTCTTAAGGAGTGGTGCTGTGTGAGGATAACCTCTTAAATATAGCTCAGCGTGCCATGGGGCTCCTAGTTGGACATCTTCTGAAACACTGAAGAACTCACGTGCAGTGTGATTTCTTTGAAATATTTTTGTGACATTTATTCTAAGAATCTGACCTTAAGGTAGGAAACAAGGCACTGGAGTTGTAAGAGAGTGTAAAAGAGTAGCACAGCTGTTGTTTTGCCAGAGTTGGACATCTGCAACTTTATAGACAAATGTTTGTACTCACTTGTCCTTGTAAGTCTGAATTTGGTCTTTGGCTTATGTGTGGAGATGGAGTAATCATTCTGGCCAGGCTGTCAAACTGAAGGTTAGCACAAAACAATCCTGGAACAGGGCTGTATCTGTTACAATGCCAGGCTGATAAGATAATTAGGAAGGGGCAGGAAAGACATAAGATAACATGTTAAAACAAGGGCATAGCAATCAAATGAAAATGGAATGCATTTTCTTCTCTAGCTATAACTACTGATGATAAAATACGTCTCTTTGTTTATTAATTTAAGTCTTCTTGAAGTGAATCAAAGTTTCTCTTGACTTTTCTCCTGTCTATTTCCCATTAATGATGCAAGTTCTATGTGAAAACTAACTAGGTTGTATTGTGTGCATGCAGGGCACGGTCCAGGTGAGGGGAAGGAGGTGGAAAATTGGAGA